GTCTGCCGACGGGCTTCGTCGGAGCTCGGCGTGATGGATATTGTCAGAGAAGCTGTGATGACAGCGCTCGCAGCTCAGACTGACTCTTCACATCCTTCATGCTGGATTTGACTTCAGAGAGGAGAAGGTTCTTTTCAGGGGGCTTTCACTTGGGAGACTTTGAAGACTGGGCTGTCACAATGCTGGGGCTGAAGTTTTCTTTCTTCATGCTTTGAGGGTGTTATAGCATTCATGTCCGTCATGGTGACCTTTGGTGCATCTTCTCAGACGGGGATTTGTGATGTTTTTGAGTCAAGTCACCGTGTTTACTCTTCTCCGATGCTGCCGAAGCTTAAAACCGAAAGATTCACCAACTTGGCAGAAGTCTGGTGAAAAGACAGTGTTTTTTGTTTTTTGGGCAACTTTTACCATTGTTGTGAGCAGCACTTATAGGCAACTTCATAAGGTACACCTCATCAGCCATTTATCCTACCACCGTGGTTCATTTTTGGCCACTCAACCACTTCTCTAACCCAACTGGGTTGACACATCCCAAGTTAAAAAAACACTCCAAACCACTGTCACATTTTTTTATTTCACACACCCCCTAGTGACAGCTCACGTACCCCCAGGGTTGCGTGCACCACATGCTGGGAATCCCTGCCTTCCAGCAGTAAATGCAGGTAGAGATGGTCATGACGAGCTGCCAAAGTTCAAAGTATCAAAAGCTGAAGAAAGTTTCTTCCATGGTGTAAACATCTTATGGCTGTTGCTACTCTTTAGGCTGAGTTAGTTATTTTACAAACTGCTGATCTTTTAAATGTTTCCTGTTAAACCACGGGGTTAAAAAAAAAAAATTTAAATAAATTCTCTGACTAAGATCCATCCTGTTTTAGATTAACATGTTTCCGGGTGTTATTGGGGAAATGGTCTAAAGAGTTTTAAAAGGTAGAATGAAGTTTCTATTGCAGTCATTACAGTAAACGTTGCACACGTGCTAACCTGATTGGTCGTTTGTCAAAACATTGGATCATATAACAGAGTTCACGTCACGGAAAGAAATTGATGCTGCCATAAATCTTCTTCCAGAACATGCGGTGCCGTCCATTTCTTCCATACGTTTTATGGAACTTTATGGTCGGTCCCACAAAGTCGGTGATTCATTTTTGTTTTGAAGATCCTGAATTTA